TCTCCCACCGGTCAGGCAGCTTCTACCACTTGACCTTCCCTGTGCCCACAGGAGGCTTTCTAAAAGACAATAGGTGAAAATGAAGCCTGCCTGCCTTCCTTCCTTCCTTCCTTCCTTCCTTCCTTCCTTCCTTCCTTCCTTCCTTCCTTCCTTCCTTCCTTCTACAAACATGAATTGAACACCTATTATGTCCCAGTGGCTGTGCTAGATGTTGAAGAGGCAGAGTCCAGGCCCACAAAGAACCTTGGGACTCCTGAGGGAAACAAGCAAGGAAACAGACAGTGACAATGCAGTGTGATGAGAACCAGGACACAGGCAAGAACGTGCTGTGGGAGCACATGGGGGTCTCCATGCATGACCTTGCAGAACGTGGGGTAGAGGGTGCCACCCCAGAGAGCTCTGGGTGGGACGGAATTCAACCTCTTGAAAAATGAAAGGCATTAGGTAGGGAAATCGAGGAAGTGAGGGAAGTGAGGGGAAAGCGTTCAGTAGGACACATGGACAAAGGTAATAGCACGTACAAGAAAGAATGGGTTCAGGAAGTGGAAAACGGGGATTTAGTGAGCATAAATCCAGAAGATGAGATAAGGATGTAGATTCCACACTCCTAGGAACAAGGAAAGCAATGTCCTTTAGTGGAGACTTGGGTACTGGAAAGACAGGCAGGAGGTGATATATAAAACCTTTATCTACCCTGTTTTATGGATGAGAAAGCTGAGAGCTGAAGAGTGGAATCACACAACAAGTGACAGATAGATCATCGTAGTTAGAGGAGCTGGTCCTGTTGACCCATACCAGTGCGAAATAAATCAGCTTCTCAAATGGTAAGAGACTCTGGGCCCTGTTGTGTTGGAATTCACCTTCCCACCCTCCCCTGTGCAATGAGCTGCCTTCTTCACAATCCATCAAAGAAGGTAAAGACAACCATTGCTCCCCGCTGCAGATGGTAGTGGTGGCTGAGAGAGACCCTTAAAAAGTTATTGGAGGACGCCCTGCTGTGATCTGAATGTTTAGGTCCCTCCAAGATTAACATGTTGAAATCCTAACCCCCCATGGTGGTCATATTAGAAGGTGAGATTTTTTGGGGGGTGATTAAGTCATGAGGGTAGAACTCTCATGAATAGAGCTAACCCCCTTAGAAAAGAGGCCTGAGGAAGTTCCATCCCCACTTCTACCACATGAGGACACAGTGAGAAGATGCCATCTGTGAGGAGAGGGGCCCTTACCAACCACTGAGTCTGCCAGTGCCTCAATCTCGGACTTCCCAGCCTCCAGAACTGTGAGAAGCAAATTTCTACCATTTTTAAGTTTATGGTACTTTGTCGCAGCAGCTTGAACTGACTGAGACACTCCTGGACTGCCTGCATAACGCTTACCAAGAGGTTCTCTGCAGGCCTTAAAAGTTCGAAGCCCAGAAATGGCCTCTCTTGAATGAATGTCCTTGGGTTTATGAATGGAATAGCCATACCTTGCATCTTTTTCCTTTGAGAATCATGCTTTTCTAAGATTGCATTTACTACCCAACTAGATATTTCTGCTGATATTCATTCAATCTTACAGAGGTAGACATTTAGGTAACATTTATTATTTACAAATTTTTTCCTGCTTTTTTTCTTTTTTAAGAAGTTGTGCCTTTTTTTTCCAGTTATAATGAATCAGGTATAAGACACAGCAAATCATTCTTGACTTACTTTTTCTCTTTTTTTAATTCATAATGGTTATAGTTGAATAAAATGTAATTTTCAATGGATACACATCTCACAGAGAGACAGTACATATCTTTCAGGTAAGGCTTCTTTTTTCTCGTATGAACAAATAGCATGTGAAAAACAGCAAAACAGATCATAAAGGCATCTGCATAATACATTGCAACTTTTCCTAAATTATTCTATCTTGTTCAGAATGAGGACTTCAGAAGCTTTAGTTTCCTTGGCTCAATATATTGTAAGGATTAATACATTTCCATTGATTCATTTACTCATTCACATAGTATCAGTTTCATAATATATGAGGCTCAGTGCAAAATGACAATATGAGGCCTCTTGTTCAAAAATTAAGAATTTTCTAGATGGCGGCCAAGCACAGTGGCTCACACCTGTAATCTGAGCACTTTGGGAGGCTGAGGTAGGCAGATCACTTGAGGTCAGGAGTTCAAAACCAGCCTGGCCAACATAGTAAAACCCCGTCCTACTAAAAATTAAAAATTAAAAAAATTAGCTGGGCATGGTGGCAGGTACTCGAGAGGCTACTCGAGAGGCTGAGGCAAGAGAATCATCTGAACATGGGAGGCAGAGGTTTCAGTGAGCTGAGATCATGCCACTGCACTCCAGACGGGGTGACAGAGCAAGACCCTGTCTCAAAAAGTAACTAAATAAATAAGTTTCTAGACGGCGACAGCATTAAGCCAAACATTTAAGCCACTTGTCTAAGCATGAGTCCCTGTGTGACTGCACAGGTTCCCCACCCAGGAAGTTGTCCCTGAATCCACCAAATTATAGGCCAGGCCCCGGAAATACAAGGGTGATCCAGTCAGATGCGGTCTGTGCCCTCCCCTGCAGCTTGGAGAAGAAAGGCATGAAGGGAACAGTCAGTCACCATGAGGTTTAATGAGGCCTCAGATAAGGGAAGTGCTGGGTCATCTGGGAGCTACCTCATTGTAGAGGTCAGCAAAGACCTTCCTGAGGAAATGACATGCACGTTGAGGTCTGAAGCTTGATGAGGCTTCAGCAGGACAACAGTAAGAGGGAAATTCGTTTCAGCCAAAGGAAGAGCATGTAAAAGAGACTGGAGAAAAGGCTGGAGAGTGTGGCATGTCTGAGGAAGCACAAGGAGCGTGGCATGGCTGCAGCAGAGAGAATATGACGGCCTGGCTGAGGGCAAGAGGGAGAGGTAGAGGAGACGGAGCCCTGAAAGGAGGTGACACGGTCTCCTGGAGGCAGTGGGAAGCTCTTAATGGGTTTCTTGGGCCTCTCTCAGCTGCGCCATGGGCCAAAGAAGGGAAGAAATCAATGATGGTGTCAGTGGAAGAAAACCAAGCTGCCCTTCTTGGTTCCTGTTGAAAAAAGAAAAAAAACGCAAAACAAAAACAGGAAGTTAGCCTGCAGAGTTGCATTGGCAGGAAGTCCTGGTTTGACAAGTCATTCAGCCTGTGCTCTGGGCCATGGACCTACCACCTTGTAGCTGGTGCTACTCCACACCTGATCAGCAAATCAGAAGAGCAGGACAGACAGATCCTTCCTCTTCTACTGCCAGAGCTCAGTTAGTGGGAAATGTGCTCCCAGCCTCCTGGTCTGTCGCTTAGCAACAGCATCCAATACTTGGTGCATAGGTGACCAGCGGTCTCCATGAAGGCTTTCAGACCGACTCTGCATCCACTGTGCCTGTTGGCAATCAAGTGTTTACTGGTTCACCTCACCCACCAGACTATGTGTTGCTTGAGAGCAGGAGACAGGTCTTACTCACTTTTGAATTCTAGTTGCTCACAAAGTAAACCATAAATGTATTGGCCAATTGAATTAACTGACACTAATCTAGTTATATCTGAGGTATAGTATATGTTCAGTCATTTGGGGGAGACAACTTATATTAGAAATATAAAATTTTTATAAAGAAAAACTATTTTGAGTTCTGTGCCAGGGACTTTAAGATATGCTCTTGGCATCCAATATTTTTCTAATTTGGGACTTTTCAGAAATGGTCACAGCAATGTCCATTTGATACAGTATCCCTGGCAGACAAGGATTATGTGTTTTCAACTTTGAGTTCCCACATGGCATGGTGTATAGTAAGTGGTTCATTATTCAATGAATGTATAGATCACACATGTCCATGTACACCAATTCACACATACATTTTGCATTATTAAAGGGGTTTGCAGATACAGATTCAGGTAGGTTATTTAAATGTATAAGAAAAATATAAACAGGAAAGTGCCCATGGTATATATGATACATATCTAAGATGTGAACATTATGTTATTATGCATCAAAAATAATAAAGGTGGATGATAATTTTGATTATTCATCAATAGCATTCCTCCATGCAATCTTTAATAAAAAAACATATAAGGAAAACAAAGGCTTAAAATGCTACCTATCTTCAGACTTTCAAAAGAAATAGTCCTGGTCCAGTGGTCACATTTGTAATCTCAGCACTTTGGGAGACTAAGGCAGGAGGATCACATGAGGCCAGGAATTTGAGTCCAACCTGGGCAACATAGAGAGGCCCTGTCCCTACAAAAAATTTCAAAGTAGCTGGGCATGGTGGTGGTGCCTGCAGTCCCAGCTACTTGGGAAGCTGAGGCAGGAGGTTTGCCTGAGCCCAGGAGTTAGAGGCTGCAGTGAGTCTAATTGTGCCACTGCACTCCAGTTTTAGTCTGGGTGACAGAGAAAGACCCTGTCTCTAAAAAAAGAAAGAAATGTAAAATGGTTTAGAGAAAATGCTATAACTGTAAAATCAATTCAGAGAGGAAGTGTTCAAGAATAAGTGATTTTCAAGAAGTATAATTTTATGATCTGACATCTGAGAAATAGTTGAACAAATGGAAGAATTGTCTTACTCCAGAGTATTAGAAACAAGCCGATGGGAGGGTGTTTAGTAAGCCAGTTGTAACTAGAGAGCCTTCTGCAAAAAGAGGGGGTGGAGTTTCTGAGGAATCAGACAGAGCTGGGATTTCCTCAGCTGTGTTTGCAGTTTTACTTAGATTCTGTTCAAAGTCATTTCTAAAATTTAATAAGAACAGATGCACTTTTTCTTATAGCCCCTGAGTGTCTGGAATACAAATTCCCCATCTTGTCACTGACCAGCTTCTCTGTCCTGGGGATTCCTACCTCTCCCTTTGTCCCCAGGATTCATGGTTGTGACCAGATTGCAGACCCTTGCTACCTGATAACCAGCCCCTGTCTCTTCTTCTCCTATAAACAGCCAAAACAAACTCCACTTGAAAACAAACGCACTCATTTTTTTTTAATTTATAAATGAAAAAGGTTTAATTGACTCACAGTTCTGTAGACTGTACAGGAAGCATAGTGGCTTCTGGCTTCTGTTTCTGGGAAGGCATCAGGAAGCTTACAGTCATGGCAAAAGGAAAACAGAGAGTGAGGCGTCTCCACACGGTAGAAGCAGGAGCATGAGACAGGGTGGGAGGTGCTACACACTGTTTTTTTTAATCACTATTTCTTTTAAACTTTAAGTTCTGGGATACATGTGCGGAACGTGTAGGTCTGTTTCATAGGTATACATGTGCCATGGTGGTTTGCTGCACCTGTCAACCCATCAATTAGGTTTTAAGCCCCCATGCATTAGGTACGTGTCCTGATGGCCTCCCTCCTCTTGCTCCCCATCCCCCGAGAGGACTTAGTGGGTGACGTTCCCCTCCCTGTGTCCATGTGTTCTCTCATTGTTCAACTCCCACTTGTCAGTGAGAACATGGCGGAACCACCCCCATTTCTTTACATTGAAAGAGACCTTAGAGAACATCTGACAAAAGGGGCCAGTAGACTTAGTGTGACTGCCATGAGATCATAGAGCTATTTTAGTCACAAAGCCAGCACTAGAACCTTGCTCCATCCCCTGACGCTTCCTCTACCGCTTCTCGATGTTCATCCCAGCAGCCTCAGTTACAATTGGCTTCCTGAAGAAAGTTTTCAAAAACATTATGTATTAGTCATGTATTAGCTATGTATTAGTAATGGAACTCTAGAGTACTCTAAAAAGTGACTTGTAAATTCACCTAATGCATTGATTTCCCTGGTGGAAATAATTTGAATGCTCCCTGGCCTTGACTAATCTTTCTTCATGCATGTATGTAATTTGTATGTTGGTTTCATGCTACTTTTTGCTTCATATGAACAGCCACATGTAAACTTTCCCAACTTTCTAGAGCAGGGCTGTCCAACAGGACTTTCTGTGATAATGAAAATGCTCATTGCCCTCGACAGTAGTCACATGCTGCTATTGAGCACCGGAAAGGCTAGCGTAACTGAGGAACTGAATCTTTTCTTCCATTTCATTGGAATTCATTCAGAAGTGAACTTCAGTAGCCACTTGGCCAACACAGTTCTAGAGAGCCATTTGTTTCTCACAATGGATGCAGAAAGTTTTAATTGTATTGCTATTTTGGTTTATTTATTGTTTCTCTGTCTTCATTCAAAATGCTTTTCATTTTTGCTATTACAGCAAATACAATATTCTATACAGCTATATATACACTTCCATAAAAAAATATTGCCTGTATGGTTTTCTTCTTTCAATTTATTTGCTTAAGTTCCTGCAAATAAAACTCCAACTGCATAGTGTTTTGACTGAAATATTCCTTAAATCCTTAAAGAGCCTCCCTCTGTCTCTTCCCCTCTTATCCTCCTTTTACATACCCTTGGGACCAAGAACTCTGTCAAGAATCCGGGCCTTCCCTTGCTAAGTCCTCTGCTGGGGCTGCTCTCAGCCCTTTTTCTGTGCTTCCTCATCCTCCCTGAGTCATGAGGCTCCTTTTCCCAAGGGCTCCTTTCCCCAAGCCAACTTTATCCTTTTTTATTGTCCTTTGGAAACAAAGAAACAGGTCATTTTGATTTAAGGGATTTGCTACTAATCCAGACAAAATAGAAAGCACAGGGATGTTGTAAAAGTTCAGAATCTGGACGTAATCCACAGCTCCGTTCCCAATTCCTCGCTCCTGGCCAGGGATGGAGAGGGCCTGCAAACACAGTGTTTGAAGCCAGAGACATCTGGTGTGATCTGTTCCCCTGAGCAACATGGGCTCACTAGGGGGCTTTCCTTATTTCCCTACACCTCGGCCTCATACATCACAGTCACCTCCACAAAGAGGACGCCTAAGAAACACGGCAGAGGCAATATAAACTCAACTCCATCCATCAGAAAAGATAAACAGGCCACTCTCCCGATCACTCAGATGGCAAATGCTGTTTTGAGCAAATCCCCTCAGGTTTTCAGGTTAGACAATGTGATGGTTAATATTGAATGTCAACTTGATTGGATTGAAGGATGCCAAGTATTGTTCGTGGGTGTGTCTGTGAGGGTGTTGCCAAAGGAGATTAACATATAAGTCGGTGGACTGGGAGAGGCAGATCCACCCCCAATCTGGGTGGGCACCATCCAATCAGTTGCCAATAGCTAGAATAAAGCAGGCAGGAGAAAGTGGACTGAATAGACTCTCTGAGTCCTGTGGCCTCCATCTTTCTCCCATGCTGGATGCTTCCTGCCCTTGAACATCAGACTCCAACTTCTTCACCTTTCGGACTCATGGACTTAAACCAGTGCTTTGCTAAGGGCTCTCGGGTCTTCAGCCACAGTCTGAGGGCCGCAGTGTCGGCTCCCCTATTTTGAGGTTTTGGGACTTGGACTGGCTTCCTTGCTCCTTGGCTTGCAGACAGCTTATTGTGGGACTTCACCTTGTGATTGTGTAATTCTCCTTAATAAACTCTCCTTCACATATACATCCATCCTACCAGTTCTGTCTCTCTAGGCAACCTGACTAATCCAGACAATGTCAAAAATGAAGCCAGCACTGAAGGGGCATAACATCAAACTCTAGAATCACAAAGCAGTAGGAAGAAACACTTCAGGTAATGGTTTCACACAAAAAAAGAGCTGGGAAAAATAAGGAAAGTTATCGCTAGATCACATGAGATAACTCAGTAAGAGAAATACTCTTAAAACTGTGAATAACCACAGGTAAGACAAAGAGAATATTAGGCAGGCAGCTAGAACCCATGGCTGTTATCCTTAGAAGCAAAGATGGCTTGCTGTAGTTATCAGTTCATAGATACACCGTCAGAACAAAGGTCGGGATTCTTTCAGGATTTTAGGATTCCCATGCTTGTCCCCACAGGCAACTATTAGGTGGGGAACTGGTCTGAATTAGCCTATTAAAGACAGCAGAGCTTACAGAATGAGAACCTGATCAACCCTGAAGTCCAGCTATGTCTGGAATTCTCATTTCTATTGTATCCTTTTTCTCTATGGCTGTGATTTAAAGCCCTATGGCATTTCTACTGTGAGGCTCCTGGATGGTGAGCTATTCCAGAGAAATGTAGTCTTATAGAGATGAACACTTGACAGAAACTCCCTCTTTCATTATCTGTGAAAGTTGAGCATTCACAGGGAATGGGAAGGGAGGTATTGGAAACTAAGTTGAGTCTGCCACTTAATCATTTGATCATTTGAACTTTGCTGGGTGTCAGCTTCCTTATTTACAAAATAATGATGTTAGAACAGATACATGGTTTTAAAATTTAATTTTGACTTAACAACAAAGTTTGAACTTAATTTGACAACATAAAGTTTCTCCATAGTTTTCTCCTGAATTGTTACAAGCATGTATTAATCTGTTCTCATGCTGCTAATAAAGACATACCCAAGACTGGGTAATTTATAAAGGAAAGAGGTTTAATGGAGTCCCAGTTTCGCATGACTGGGGAGGCCTCCTAATCTTGGTGGAAGGCAAAGGAGAAGCAAAGGCACATCTTACATGGCTGCAGGCAAGAAAGCTTGTGCTGGGGAACTCCCATTTATAAAACCATCAGATCTCATGAGACTTATTCACTACCCTGAGAACAGTATGACAGAACTGCCCCCATGATTCAATTATCTCTGCTTTACAAAATCAACTCAGAGCTTCATTAAGATGTGGTGTATTATTGTACATTCACACATTTTGTGCAAATTGGACCCCCAGATCAAATCCTGTGTCCCGCCCTTGACACATGGGGATTATTACAATTCAAGGGGAGATTTGGGTGGGGACAGAGCCAAACCATGTCAAAGAGTAACGAGCTCAGTAGAGAGTGCAGATAAAAGTGGAAGTGTTCTGTTTGAACAAGTGTGGGGCCGGAGCCCATCCACTCAGCCTCCCTACAGCCCCTTAGGGAAGCCTAAAAGCGCCTCCAGGGAAGTCCAAGGCACCAGGTAACACAGTATGAGAATGTCTGGACTAGGAGCTCCCTGAGTTTCTAGCTTGCATAGTTAGGAATCGTTAGTGTTGGAGATACAGGTTTGTCCTTCAGATTGTTCTCAGTCTTCTAGCCCATTGATCCTCCTCTTCCGTTTGACCTTTAAGCTATATTAATACAAGTTTGAAAAAAAGAAAATTAAATAATTTTAGCCACAAAAGTACTAATTTGCCTTAGACATCAGAATATGTTGAGTAAAGTATTTGTCTCCAAAAGAGTATTTCAAAAATTAAACTATAGCAACTGATCATGAAAATGTAATATTCCTAGGTTCTGATACACCACGGGATAATACCCTTTGGGGATCTTTGGGACACTGGTCCAGGTCCCCTCTGGGATCTCCACAATGTCATCAGGGAAAATGTCATCAGGGACAGCGTTGTTAGGGATCCAAGTGCTTCCCAGTTCTGCTTCATGTCCTTGGCAGGAGGCCCCTCCTTCTCATTCTTGTATTAGCTGCCTTCTCATCACGAGTTGGCTATGTCCCTCTGGGCCCCATCCTCCCCTCCCAGGCATGAAGAAAAAAGAAGAGCAAAGGGCCAAAAGAACTTTGTGCTTTAGAAAGGATCTACCTTTTAGGCTGAGAATGGTCCTCTCCCCAGAAATGTCCACCTACATCTCAGCATCCAAAACCAAAAATGCCCACAGCCTGCTCGCAGGGAAAGGCAGTCAGGGAGAAGGGTGATACGAAGATACGGATCATCTGACTGCAGGGACAGTCACAGAGATGATATACTGAAGGCATAAGAGGGGACTTCAGCTTCAAGGAAGCCTTTGCCTCTACCAGAGGAGCAGGAGTTGGTGAAGGGAAAAGCTGGAGAAACCAGAAGTTGAGTTTCTCTGCAAATCAAGGGGAGCTTCCTCTGATGTTTCTGGTCTGATCTCTATGGGGGCAGAGACTGGTCAGGGGAGGACATGATGGCTCACTCCTGAGGTCTCCTTCCATGGGAAGGCACAGCACTCAGTTTAGCCTCAGCTTTCCCCTAGGAAATTTATCTCAGTCCTTCCCTCCTCCCTTTTCAACCACTGATTGGTTCCTCCATCCCCCAGGTTTTACAGGGGCAGACCCCTTGTTGATCACCTGCGATGGACTGAATGTTTGTGCCCCCCAAAATTGATATGTTGAAATCTAACCCCCGAGGTGATGGTATTAGAAGGTAGAATTTTGGGGTGTGGTTAGCTCATGAGGGTGGAACCCTCATGAATGGGATTAGTGCCCTTATAAAAGGGACCCGAGAGAGCTCCGTCTTCTTTCTATCATGTGAGGATACAAGAAACCTGCAAACCAGAAGAGGGCCCTCACCAGACCCCAACCATGCTGCCACCCTGATCTCAGACTTCCAACCTCCAGAACTGTCAGAAATAAATTTCTGTTGTTTATAAACCACCCAGTCTATGGCACCTTGTGACAGCAGCCCAAACTGACACCAACCTATGGTCATTAACACTGCCTGAGATGGAATGAGAGGCCTGCCAAACTCCAGCCTTCAGTATTAGGAAGCCCACCATGCCCCACACCCAGCTATGCCTTCGCACAACCAGTATCAGAAATAAAGATGATTTTCCTTTATCATCCGCCCTCCTCCTTTATTTTATCTGTGAATTGGTTCTGAACGTGGGCAGTGAAAAGAGAGAGGTTGTTTATTGGAGCTCTCCTCTGCACATCTAAACAGTGCCTAAAATAGAGTGGGAGCATGAACTTCGTCAAATGAAAAATATACCCCATCCTTCCTCTTGGACTTCTGTGATTATGTAAATGTATATTCTCAGAGATGAGAATTAAAGCAGATGGCAGGCATGTGAAACCCTCTGACCAGTAAACAAGAACAGTGAATTATCTTAGCATTTGTGTTGCTAATGAGACACCTAGCACAGTACCTGGAATTCGTAATTGAATGATCCGCATTCCAGCTCAGATTTTGGCACAGAATAAAGGAGAGAGGTCAGCGGCCAGCAAAGTTTTTGTCTCATGGCTTCTGGTCAAAACGTGAGGTAGGAAAATAATTACCAAGAACATAAAAGCCTGGCTGTGAGAATATTCCTCAATGGCAGAAGCCCCTTCTTGTGTTTGTATTAAAAGGCAGAACTGACCCTTGTGCAGTAGACAAATGATAATGTCAAGCTTTTGTTTTATGTAATGTTTGGTTTGAGGCTCCAATTTGTCTCATGAAATGTCTGAATGTACAATAATACACGGCATCTTAATGAAGCTCTAAGTTGATTTTGTAAAGCAATGATAAGAATATTATTGGATACAAAAATATAAAATTCTGGTACTCAGACATATTATAGAAAAGTAGCTGAAAATAGAACATCAGCAGAAACTGCTATTCATGCCATTCAGTGTCAGGTGAATGCCATACCAGCTCTGGACGATTCTCTCCACACCCCCTGAACATAAAGGAAATGGATAAACTAACCCACTGCAAGTTTGAGGTTTCCTGTTACTTGCATCTGATCCTAATGCATACATAGGCAAGTCTGTATAGTCACATTTAATCTACATGGGCTCTGGACGCCTACACATCTAGGATCGAATGCAGGCTGTACACTAATTAATTAATAGTTATAAAAGTGGGCACGTTACTCAGGCTGTCACCTCTCAGGTGTATCTGTAAACTAGAAAAGTGGCCTGGCATGGTGGCTCATGTCTAATCCCAGCACTTTCAGTGGCAGAGGTTGGGAGAATCACAAGGGCAGAATTTCGAGACCAGCTTGATCAACATGGTGAAATCCCATCTCTACTGAAAATACAAAAAAATTAGCCAGTCATGGTGGTGCACACTGGTAATTCCAGGTACTCAGGAGGCTGAGGCAGGAGAATTGCTTGAACCTGGGCAGCAAAGGTTGCCGTGAGCCAAGATGGCGCCACTGCACTCCAGCCTGGGTGACAGAGCGAGACTCTGTCTCAAAAAAAAAGAAAAATAAATAAATAAAATAAAAGTGTATCTTTCTTATGGTAGGATTAAACGCAATAATGCAACCAAAGCACTTGGCAGTGGCACAAGTGAATGTCAGATAAATGTTAGCTATTAGAATTAATGTTGAAGACAATGAATAGTAGTAACGCCTGTAATTGGCCAGAGTGAAGGCACTTTCAACCTTACCATTGCATTGGGTGACTTTTATATGTGTCCTAAACCATCTTAAATTTAATCTATGGGTCAACTAAAGTCTCAAGACAAAACAGCAACCCTTTCTACAGCCATAATGTAATTTGCATTCCTTTTGTAATATTTAAGGGATTTTTAAGGTGGTTTGAAAAATAGGTAGAGGCTTCAATGATGTTAGGCTGTCCTAGCTGACTGCTAAGGCCCATGGAACTCTGCTACAAATTCTCTTAGCAACTGCACTTGAATTACCTGAGTAGGAAATTTGCTTGCTTGCTTATGGGGAAATGGTTGAACTTAAACATGAAAGGCTAAATGAAAACCCACATAATAAACTATAATCATTGACTTTCAGATTGATAAGGGCAGGAAATTAAGGTGGTTAGCAAAAGGAAGCATTGTTCTATACAGGAGGAAAATCTGTACCTGCCAAATGAAATGCCACTGTATCAGCTTCAAGATCTCTTGGGCTTTCTCTGTAAATGACAGAGACAACTCCCAAAACAGGAGTGCGTGACAGTGCTCAAAACCAAATGAAAATATCATTACTCTGGAACAACTAAGAGATGCAAAGACACCAATGGAAGAATGTAGGTTCAGGAACCAAATTTACAGTTACACATAGATATTTAAAATATATAAAAAGAGGCTGGGCCCAGTGGCTCATGCCTGTAATCCCAGCCCTTTGGGAAGCAGAGGTGGGTAGATCATCTGAGGTCAGGAGTTCGAGACCAGCCTGGCCAACATGATGAAACCCCATCTCTACTAAAACTACAAAAATTAGCTGGGCATGATGGTGGGAGCCTGTGATCCCAGCTACTTAAGAGGCTGAGGCAGGAGAATTGCATGAACCCAGGAGGTGGAGGTTGCAGTGAGCTGAGATCATGCTACTGCACTCCAGCCTGGACAACAGAGGTAGACTCTGTCTTAAAACAAATTAATTAACTTAATTAAATACATAAAAAGCAAGCTCAATAATTTATCATGATTCACATTTATAGAAGTTTTGATAAACTGACCATGCAATATTCTGAAAGAATCCACAAGGAAGAAATTCCCGTAAGACTGAGTGAACCTCCAAGCTGATTGACTCTTCCTGGACAAATGCATCGCACTCTGTAGGTATTAATTCCGGAGTGGAAAATGTACGCACAACGTCAAACCAATGCTAGTGACTCCCTGAAGCTCTATGTTGAGAAGAACAAGGTTGCAATGGCTTGTCCTGACTCTGGAGAAAAAAATGGTGTGATAGACCAACAACATCTTCTGCAAGTCCAGGATAGGGATGCTTGGTCTATGTGCTGACTGTACTTCACGCTCTCAATGCCCAATACTGTGCTTCTGGTCCTCCCGGACCCTATGTTCCAGATATCACAGCTGAACATCTGCTTTCATTCTCTGAACCTAGTCACACCAGTATTTGAATGAAGAGACAGCATATTCATTATTTGCCAGTGATACAAACCCAATCCCAACAGCTGATGCACAAAAAATAGGAAATGTTGGTTCACTTAACTGTGAAGTCCAGATATGCCACTGGTGTCCAGTACAGCAAGATCCAGAAGCTGCATCATGTTGCCAGGGATCCATTTCTCTCTCTTGCTTTCTTTGTGCCTTAGAAAGGCTTTCTGACTGGGTGCAGTGGCTCATGCCTGTATTCCCAGAAATTTGGGACATCGAGGCAGGCAGATCACTTGAGGTCAGGAATTCATGATCAGCGCCTAGCCAACATGGTGAAACCCTAATTCTATTAAAAAATACAAAAATTAGATGGGCACGGTGTCACATGCCTGTAATCTCAGCTACTTAGGAGGCTAAGACAGGAGAATCATTTGAATGCCGGAGGCAGAGGTTGTGACACTGCACTCCAGTCTGGGCAACAGAACAAGACTCCAACTCAAAAAAAAAAAAAGAAAGATTTTCTATAGAGAAGGCAGGATGGCCACCAGCAATGCCAGATTCACATCCCCCACCTCAGCAATCATAGTGGAAGGTCCACATTTTTTTCCTAATAGCCCTTGGGAAATAAAAAATCCCAAGTAGGATCCTAATTGTTCCTGACTCTCTTACATGTAAATACTGAAACTGATCACTAAAGCCAGTACTCTAATTGCAGTATTTGGTTTTCATGTCCACCCAGGTAGCTAAGAGAGAAAGGCCAGAATAAGCACCCTCTGCTAACCCATGCACATGGAATGCATTCTCCACAGTGAGAGGGGTCTGTTTCCAGAAGGAACGGGGAATCAGTCTCACCACGTCCTGGCCAGCACTAGCCAAATGTTATCTTTAGGATCTGGTATTTTGTCCTATAGCCTCAAGCAAGTACATGGGGTCCTACTGTGATGATAGATTTCTCTGTTCCTGTCTGCCTGCCATGGTTTCTCAACTCTGTGACTAGAACACCCATAACTTCTTGTAAGGTTTCCTCCCCTAACAAAAGTTCAAATGCTCCGTGTACTACCTCCTATGCCATGTGTTTGATGCTAGGTCCTGCCTGCTGTTCTGGCTTCCTCCCAATGATTACATTTGAATTTTAAGAGGGTGACAGGCCCCACCCCGTGCCAGAGAAAGGCATTCAGCATAGTGAAGTGGGGAAAACTTTGACTTAGGAGCCAGCTTTATCTGGGTTCAAATTCTAATTTCTACTTTCTAGCCATGTGACTTTGGACAAATTGTAGGCATACTGTGGAGTGATTGCGGTTTTGGTTTCACCTCAACAAAGCAAGTCACACAAACTTTTTTTGGTTTCCTGGTGCATAACAAAGTTATGTTTACGCTATACTGGACTCTATTAGGTGCAGTGGTTATGTCAAAAAAATTGTACATACCTTAATTAAAAATACTTTATCGATAAAGAAAATGCTACAAATCGCATGAGGTGGCTATGGAAATTCGTTAAAATAAAGCAACTATGAAGTTTGCCACATTGATCAACTCTTCCCTTCACAAATGATTTCTCTGCAGCATGCAATGCTGTTGGATAGCATTTTATTCACAGCAGAACTTCTTTCAAAATTGAAGTTAATCCTCTCAAACCCTGCACTGCGTTATCAACTAAGTTTATGTAATATTCTAAATCCTTCATTGTCATTTCAACAATGTTCACAGCCTCTTTACCAGGAGTAGATTCCATCTCAAGGAACTACTTTCTTTGCTGATCCATAAGAAGCAACATCTCAGCCATTCAAGTTTTATCATGAGATTGCAACAATTGAGCCTCATCTTCAGGCTCCACATCTAATGCTAGTTCTGCTATTTTCACCACATCTGCAGTGACTTCTTCCACTGAAGTTTTGAACCCCTTCAAGCCATCCATGAGAGCTGAGGTCAACTTACTCCAAACTCCTGTTAAGGTGGATATTTTGACCTCCTCCCATGAATCACAGATGTTCTTAATGGCATTGAGAATGGTGGATCCTTATTCAGTAATGTGCTATATAGGGGGGAAAAGGAAAAAAAAAAAAAAGAGAGTGGTGAATCCTTTCCAGAAGATTTTTAATTTACTTTGCCCAAATCCATCAAAGAAGTCACTATTTATGGCAGCTATAGGCTTATAAAATATATTTTTAAAAAGTAGATTTGAAAGTTGAAATTACTCCTTGATCCATGGGCCACGGAACAGTTGTTGTTTTCATAGTTGTGAAAACAGCATTGTATCTCCATCAGAGCTCTTGGGTAACTAGACTCATTGTCCATGAACAGTAAGATTTTGAAGGGAATTTTTTTTTTTTTTTTTGAGCAGTAGTTCTCAACAGTGGGCTTAAAATATTCAGTAGACTTGTAATCCTAGCAGTTTGGGAGGCTGAGGTGGGTGGATCTCCTGAGGCCAGGAGTTTAAGACCAGCCTGGCCAACATAGTGAAATCTCATATCTACTGATAATACAAAATTAGCCAGATGTGGTGGCAGGAACCCATAATCCCAGCTACTTGGGAGTCTGAAGCAGGAAGAACACTTGAATCTGGGAGGCAGAGGTTACAGTGAGCCAAGATCATGCCATTGCACTCCAGCCTGGGCAACAAGAGCAAAACTCCATCTCAAAAAACAAACAAAAATTCAGTAGACCATGCTGTAAACATGTGCTGTCACTCAGCCTTTGTTTTTTCATATATAGAGCAAAGACAGAGTAAATTTAGCATAATTCTTAAGGGCTCTTGGAGTCTCAGAATGGTAAATTAGCACTGGCATCAATTTAAAGCCACCAGCTGCATTTACCCCTGAGAGAGAGTCAGCCTCTTCTTTGAAGCTTTTTTTTTTTACCTGAACCTCCCCCATCTTTAGTGCACCCAGGCTGGTGTGGCCACAGAAAGCAAAGCTGTCTGTGCATCATAAGGGTACAGTTCTCCAGATTGGTGCTTTTTTAATTTTTTTTCTGTAATTACAGGAGGCTGCAGGACTGCAGCAAGCTGGTAAGTATCGTAACAATGTGCTGGGATTACAGTCATTAGCCACTGTATCCTACCTTCTGTGTGTGTGTGTGTGTGTGTGTGTGTGTGTGTGTGTGTGTGTTTTAATTTTATTTTAAGTTCTGAGATGCAAGTGTGGAATGAGCTGGTTTATTACGTAAGTATAAACGTGTCATGGTTGTTTGTTGCACCTATCAACCCATCATTGAGGTTTTAAGCCTCGCATGCACTAGGTATTTGTACTAACGATCTTTTCCCTCTTGCCTTCATTCCCAGGGATTACTTTTTTTTTTAATGGATTGGAGGTTTCAGTGGGACAGGAGAATCACAAGGAATCAGGTGTTCAGAGGAATGTATTGAGTAAAAGTGAGGAACTAGGATGTTGAAAAGTAAAAAAAGGAGAGAAGGAGAGGAAGAAAGAGGAAGAAAAAGAGGAAGAGAGAACAGGAATCAGGAATATTGCTTCATTCTAAAAAATGGGTATTAATAATGGCTGATCAATATTTTGTGTGTTTAAAATGGAGAACTCTATAAATACTTACTGAGTTTACTTGTTCCGGATCTGAGTTGAAGTCCTGGATATCCTTATTAATTTTCTGTCTCGTTGAGTCTAAATCTCGTTATGGGTCTTATGTATCTGGGTATTAAGATCTCTTACTGTTGCATTGATTCTTTTACCACTGTATCTTTGTTGCTTTGAAATCTATTTTATCAAATGTGAGAATTGCAACTCCTGCTTTTTGTTTATTTATTTATTTTTGCTCTCCATTTGGTTGGTAAATTTTTCTTCAACCCTTTGTTTTGAGTCTTTGTGTATCTTTGGATATACCATTAAGTTTTGGCTGTATCTTTTGATTGGGGGATTTAGTCGATTTAAATTTAGGGTTACTGCCATTTGATGTTAACTGGGTGTTTTATGTAAATTCTTCTTTATGTTGATGCTCTTTACTTTTTGGTATATTTTTAGAAAGGCTCATACTGGTTGTTCCTTTCTATGTATAATGCTTCTTTCAGAAGTTCTTGTAAAGCAGGCCTGGTGGTAATAAAATCTCTGAGTACTTGCTTGTTCATAAAAGATTTTATTTTTCCTTCAATTGTGAAGCTTAGTTTGGCAGGATATGAGATTCTAGGCTGAAAGTTCTGTTCTTTAAGTATATTGAATATTGGCCCCCACTCTCTTCAAGCTTGTAGGGTTTCCGCTGAGAGATCTGCTGTAAGTCTAATAGGCTTCCCTTTATGGGTAACCTGGCCTTTCTCTCTGGCTGCCCTTAGTATTTTCTCCTTCGTTTCGATCCTGGTGAATCTAACGAATATGTGCCTTGGGGTTGCTCTTCTTGAGGAATATCTTTGTGGTGTTCTCTGTATTACCTGGGGTTGAATAGTGTCCTGCTTTGCTAGATTGGGAAAATTTTCCTGGATAATATCCTGAAAAGTATTTTCCAGCTTGGATTCATTCTCTCCATCACATTCAGGTACACCAATCAAATGTAGATTGGGTCTTTTCACATAGTCCTATATTTCTTGGAGACTTTGCTCATTCCTTTTCATCCTTTTTTCTCTATTCTTGTCTTGTCATTTTATTTCATTAAGTTGGTCTTCGACCTCTGATATCCTTTCTTCTGCTTGATCCATTCTGTTATTTAAACTTGTGCATATTTCACTAACCTTCTTTGAAGCTTTTAAGCCAGTCATCGACTTCTCCTCTTTAACTATAAAAGTCCTAGATACCGTCTTCTTCCAATAGAAGGCTTTTTTGGTCTACATTGGAAATCTGCTGTTTAGCCACTTTTATCAATGATCCTAGATCTTCTGAATAACTTGCTGTAGCTTCCACATCAGCATTGCTGCTTCTCCTTGCATTTTTCTGTTATGGAGGAGGCCTCTTTCCTTAAACCTCTTGAACCAACCTCTACTGTCATCGTACTTTTCTTCTGCTGCTTCCTCACTTCTCTCAGCCTTCACAGAATTGAAGAGAGTTGGGCCTTGCTCTGAATTAGGCTTTGGCTTAAGGAAATGTTGTGGCTGGTTTAATCTTCTATCCAGACCACCATAACTTTCTCAGTGTCAGCAATAAGGCTGTTTTGCTTTTTTATCATTTGTGTGTTCATCGGAGCAACACTCTCCATTTCCTTCAAGAACTTTCCCTTTGCATTCACAACTTCACTGTTTGGTACAAGAGGCCAAACTTTCCACCTGGCTCAACTTTCAATGTGCCTCCCTCACTCAACATAACCATTTCTAGCTGTTGAGTTAAAGTGAGAGACGCGTGACTGCTCCTTTCACTTGAACACTGAGAGGCCATTGTAGGGTTATTAATTAGCCTAATTTCAATATTGATGTGTCTCAGGGAATAGGGAGGCCGGAGGAGAGGGAGGGAGATGAGAAACAACCAGTCTGGGGCAAAGTACATGACATTTATTCACTAAGATCACTGTCTTATATGAGCATGGTTGGTGGCACCCCAAAACAATTACAATAATAACATCAAAGACCACAGATCACTGCAACAGATGTAATAGCAATGAAAGAGTATAAGATATTGCTAGAACTACCAAAATGTGACACAGAGACATGAAGTGAGCATATTCTGTTGGAAAAATGGCACCATTAGACTTGTCCCACACAGGGTTGTCACAACCTTCAATTTGCAGAAAACAAAATATCTGCGGAGCATACCAAAGCAAAACACCATAAAACAAAATGGGTCTGCATTTAGTATCTCTGAACGTATGCATTTCTTCATTCATAAAATGGGATAAGCTAGTTAATGTAGGGACACTCCAAGCTTCAGCTCTGTCCCCTGTCACCAAGTCCTTCAGGCTTCCAGGATCATCCTTCCTTTTAATATTAAAAGGAAAGAAAAGGACAATATATAATGTTCTTATTTATTTAAGGATAAAGACACATTTACACATGATCTTTTTTCCCTATTCATATTGTTTGAATGTTTTACCTTATGTGTTTGTTACCTTTTTATTGAGACGGAGTTTCGCTCTTGTTACCCAGGCTGGAGTGCAATGGCACGATCTCGGCTCACCGCAACCTCCGCCTACTGGGTTCAGGCAATTCTCCCGCCTCAGCCTCCTGAGTAGCTGGGATTACAGGCACGTGCCACCATGCCCAGCTAATTTTTTGTATTTTTAGTAGAGACGGGGTTTCACCATGTTGACCAGGATGGTCTCAATCTCTTGACCTCATGATCCACCCACCTCAGCCTCCCAAAGAGCTGGGATTACAGGCTTGAGCCACTGCACCCGGCCCTGTTACCTTTAAAATAAAATAAAGGAATAAAAGTTTAGGCCGGGTGCAGATTACGCCTGTACTCCCAACACTTCGGGAGGCCAAGGTGGGCAGATCACAAGGTCAGGAGGTCAAGACCATCCTGCTAACATGATGAAATCCCATCTCTACTAAAAATACAAAAAATTAGCCAGGCATGGTGGTATGCACCTGTAATCCCAGCTACTCAGGAGGCTGAGGCAGGAGAATTGCTTGGAACTGGGAGACAGAGGTTGCAGTGAGCCGAGATTGTGCCATTGCACTCCAGCCTGCGTGACAGAGCAAGACTCCATCTCAAAAAATAAAATATAAAATAAACAAAGAAAGAAAGAAAATAAAGAATAACAGTTCAATGTCATTCTGCAGCCAGCTGGGCCTTTCATGTCACGTACTGCAGCTCAAGGCACAGTGATCACCCTTTATCTTTGAGGACATGTGCTTGTTCTAGTCAACACTTGCATGGATTTCCCACCTGCACTGAATTCTCAGAACTGCCCTGGGTCTCACCTCCTGTGGAAGTTCTATTTTCTCCACCCTGGGTCATCTGAAACATGCCATGCTGTCATTTTCCTCTTTAATTCTCTTTCCTCAAAGTACAACTAACACAAGCGTGTGCTGCAGGATCCACTGAAGGCTGGAGGTAATGGGATATGGGCACATTACAATGCAGCCAACAGTTTTAAATTAATATGAGGTGCACAGGATGCTGGAGCCACTCAGACACCGCCACCTCAGCGCTTGCTCACTGGTCATCCTTGCTCATCAGACTCTGGGCGTCCTCCATGTTCTTGTCCACATCCTCTCATCTGGACATCTCCAACCTCACTGAAAGTTGTTCTTATTCATTTCTCAGGGAAAGCCCATCTCACAAGGATAATTTTTTTATTTTTTATTTTCTTATTTTCAATTTTAATTTTTGTGGGTACATAGTATATAGATTTATGGGTACATGAGATGTTTTGCTACAGACATGCAATGCATTGTAATCATATCACGTAAAGGAGGGTATCCATCCCCTCAAGCATTTATCCTCTGTGTCACAAATAATCCAGTTATACTCTTATCGTTATTTTAAAATGTACAATTAAATTGTTACTGACTATAGTCACCCTGTTGTCCTATCAAATATGAGGTCTTATTCATTCTTTCTATTTTTTTTGTACCCATTAACCATCCCCACCTCTCCCCACTCGACCCTCCCACTACCCTTCCCAGCTTCTGGTAACCAACCTTGTATTCTCTGAGTTCAACTGTTTTGATGTTTAGCTATCACAAATAAGTGAGAACATGCAACGTTTGTCTTTCTATGCCTGGCTTATTTAGCTTAACATGATGATCCATCCATGTTGTTGCAAAGGACAGGATCTCATTCTTTTTATGGCTGAATTATACTCCACTGTATATAATTACCATGTTTTCCTTATCCTTTCATCTGTTGAGGGATACTTAGGTTGCTTCCAAATTTGGGCCATTGTGAACAGTGCTGCAACAAACCTGGAGTGCCGATATCTCTTTGATATACTGACTTCCTTTCTCTTGGGTATATACCTAGCAGTGGCATTGCTGCATCACATGGTAACTCCATATTTAGTCTTTTGAGAGACCTCCCAACTGTTCTCCATCATGTTGTACTAATTTACATTCCCACCAACAGTGTACGAGGGTTCCCTTTCCTCCGCATACTCACTGGCATTTGTTATTGCCTGTCTTTTGGATAAAATCCATTTTAACTGGAGTGAGATGATATCCTGATATCCCAGGAGTGCATTGTAAGACATGGCACCACACCCAGAAGAGGGAAGCAAGACCACCTTTCTGCAACCCAGTCGGGAGTTTGTACACTTTTTAATTTGCATTTCTCTAACCATCAATGATGCTGAGCAACTTTTTATATGCCTGCTTCCCATCTGTACGTCTTCTTTTGAGAACTGTCTATTCAAATCTTTTATCTATTTTTAAACGGGATTATTACATTTTTTCCCTATAGAATTGTTTGACCTCCTTATGTACTCTGGTTATTAATCTCTTGTTGACGTTAATGTTTGCAAATATTTTCTCCCACTCTGTGGGGTGTCTCTTCACTTTGTTAACTGTTACCTTTGCTGCGCAGAAGCTTTTAACTTGATATGATCCCATTTGTCCATTTTTGCCTTGGTTGCCTGTGTTTGTGGGGTATTACTCAAGAACCTCTTGCCCACCAATGTCCTGGAGACTTTCCCCAATGTTTTCTTGAAGTAGTTGCATAGTCTGAAGTCTTATATTTAAGTCTTTAATTCATTTTGATTTGATTTTTGTACATGCTGAGAGATAAGGATCTAGTTTCATTCTTCTGCATATGGATATTCGTTTTCCCAGCAGCATTTATTGAAGGGATTGTCTTTTCCCCAATGTATGTTCTTGGCACCTTTGTAGAAGGGGACAGTTCATTATTGTCCCACTGCCTGGTAACAACTCAAGTGACAGAGCCTGGAAATGGGACCCAGGAGTACATTGTAAGAGAGCACACCACACCCAGAAGAGGGGGGCAACCCCAGCTTCCTGTACTCCAGTTGGGGGATTTGAACATTTCACATTCACACAATGCAAGAAAGCATCTTATTTATCACCCTCGAAATTGCCATTTGGAGACAGCATCTTAAAAGACCACCTGAGCAGTTTTTAAAGTCAGTGTATTAGTCCATTCTCACCTTGCTAATAAAGACATCCTGACCATCCTGGTCAACATGGTGAAACCCCGTCTCTACTAAAAATACAAAAAATCAGCTGGGCATGGTGGCGCATGCCTGTAATCCCAGCTACTCAGGAGGCTGAGGCAGGAGAACTGCCTGAACCCAGGAGGCGGAGGTTGCGGTGAGCCGAGATCGCGCCATTGCACTCCAGCCTGGGTAACAAGAGCAAAACTCCGTCTCAAAATAAATAAATAAATAAAATAAAGACATCCTAAGACTGGGTACTTTATAAAGGCAAGATGTTTAATTGGTTCCACATTGCTGTGGAGGCCTCAGGAAACTTACAATCACTGCAGAAGGCACCTCATCATAGGGTGGCAGGAGAGAGAATGAGTGCCCAGTGAAGCAGGAAGACCCTTACAAAACCATAGGATCTTGTGAGAATTCACTATCATGAGAAGAGGATGGGGAAACCCACTCCTATGATTCAATTATCTTCACCTGGTCCCTCTCACAACCCATGGGGATTATTGCAACTACAATTCAAGATGAGATTTGGGTGAGAACACAGCCAAACCATAACAGTCACATACCTTGGGAAGAAATCCAAATGAGTTTGATGAATGATGATTGGGTGAAGCAGTTTAATTATGTGCAACCTTTAATATAGCAGGGTATTTTTAAAAACCTAAATTTCAAGTTACTAAAAATGGATGAGACAAGATTGTAAGGAGTTTAAATAAAAAGAGTGGAGAAGCAGTGTCATCACCACACCCACCTAAATCAAAAGAAAGCCATGTTCCCGATCAGGTTAGTCATTAGCATCCCCAGGGGAGGATTTAAATATGTAAATTCCAGGGGCCCTAACCAAGACCTGCTGGGTTTCAGTCTCCTGGATACTCATCTTCAACTTCTCAGCTCCTGAACTCCCTGAAACAATTACATTAAATTATGTCAACCCTCAACACATTTTAAATTTGGCATCTAAACTTTTTTATCATTAGTTAAATTCACTGCAGAGAACATAATTTCTGATATATTATTAACATTGATACTTTAAAATAAAATTATTACAATATTCTCTTAAATGTATCAATTGGTTTACAAATGCCATATCAAGGTGACAACCTCCACCATCCACTGTTAAAAATACATAAAGATCTTTTGAACAATGAGAAAATGTATGTTGCTCTTGTTACTCCTTGAACTTATATTTCCATTCCATGTCCCTCACAGAAATTTTATCTAAATATGATATATATTTATGCTTGTACATCTATTCTTTTCTTTTTTGAGATGGAGTTTTGCTCTGTTTCCCAGGCTGGAGTCCAGTGGCATGATCTCGGCTCACTGCAACCTCCACCTCCATGTTCAAGCAACTCTCCTGCCTCAGCCTCCCAAGTAGCTGGGATTACAGGCATGTGCCACCGTGTCCAACTAATTTTTGTATTCTCTAGTACAGATAGGGTTTCACCATGTTGGTCAAGCTGGTTTTGAACTCCTGGCCTCAAGTGATCCACCTACTTCAGCCTCCCAAAGTGCTGGGATTATAGGAGTAAGCCACTGCACCCAACTGCTTGTACATCTTTCATTGATTGCCTTATAATACGATTCTGTCACAAAAGTTATATATAAATTGTCATTTTAATTTTTAAATTTTCCTGTAAATGGGGATCTAAGTGTTAACAATCTCTTATTGATTGAATTACTATCACTATTAGTGTGCAGAGTATCTAAAAATAAATATATTACAAGTGTTGCAAAATGCCAGGTATAAAAAGTAAAATACTACCAGAAACCTCTTAGGGAAATGGATAGGGCATATTTTTGAAAAATTAATGTTAGCATTTCTTTTTTTTATTGCATTTTAGGTTTTGGGGTACATGTGCAGAACATGCAAGACAGTTGCATAGGTACACACATGGCAGTGTGTTTTGCTGCCTTCCTCCCCTTCACCCACATTTGGCATTTCTCCCTAGGCTATCCCTCCCCAGCTCCCCCCGCACGGTCCCTCCCCTATTCCCCCCAATAGACCCCAGTGTGTAGTACTCCCTTCCCTGTGTCCATGTGTTCTCATTTTTCATCACCCACCTATGAGTGAGAATATGCAGTGTTTCATTTTCTGTTCTTGTGTCAGTTTGCTGAGAATGATGTTCTCCAGATTCATCCATGTCCTTACAAACGACATGAACTCATCATTTTTGATTGCTGCATAATAT